ATATATATATATATAAAGTTAGAGCACATTAAGAAATTCTTAGGACGTAGGTAGGCATAATTGATTAATAGTATAGCTACTTAGCATAGCCCCAAAAATCCATCTCGCCAGTGCCGGCAGTAGAAGCACGCAAAGAAAGGTGATTAATGTGGGCAGACACTGAAGGAAGCGTATCGTTATTGTTTGCGGCTGAAGCTGCAGATGGAGATACCATTCGGTCCAGCATTGTAGGCCATTCGGTCATGCCCGCCTGCGCCTGATCATGATCTCTTCCGGCAGTAGTACTCGTACTGATGTTAACGTGTTGGGCAGCGGTGGCCACCTCGAGGCCAGGCTCGCAGGGTGGGTAGTCGCTGCCACTCTCGCAGTCAGCGCGGGTAGCGGCGTTGGTGATCATGAGTTGCTTGACCTGCTGCAGGCGGTTAAGGGCGGTGGAGTCGTAGGCATTCGGGATTAGGGACGGGTGGGAATAGGCGGGAGGAGGATAGTGAAAGGCAAGCTCATGATGAAGAGGAGTAGGAGGTTTGTTGTTTAGTTCGAAGCTGGTGGTACTTGGCTGTTGCATCATCAAATTGTGAGATGGCTGGCGAAGCAAGTGGTATTGGTTAGAGGAGGCCTGCATATTACTATTAAAGGCGTTTGCATTATTATTGGCCGTGTTGATATTCAAGTGGCCGTGATGATGACAAGTAGTAGTACTACTGCGGGTAATCTCTGAGTTGATTATGTTGTTACTAGAACCTCCTCCTCCTTCGTTGTTTCCTCCTACTTTGAATAAGTTCTTCTTCTTGAATACCCTGCACACCACCCACCCGTCTTCCTGCAAATACAGAATTAATATATATACATACATATAATTAAGACAAGTATTGTTGAGGAAGAATGTTGCATAAAAACATCATGCATCCTCTTACGGATTTATATCACAAATAGTAGAGTATCGGATTAGGATCATGGTCTTGTTCATGGATATATGAAGAACTTAGATACGTACAGAAGAAGAAGAAGAGTCGTGGCTGAGGTTATTAGGATCATGGTCTTGGTCTTCGAGGCGATACTCGTGCATGATCCAGTCGGTCTTCTGGCCGTGGGGAGCTCGGCCTCTGTAGAAAACGAGGGTTTTGCGCATGCCGATCTTCTTGAAGGTGTTTCGGATGCACTTGTCTCTTCCCGTGGCTTTCCAAAACCCAGCGCTTGTGGCTCTATTCGTGCGAGACCCCGTCGGGTACTTCCTGTCTTTGTGGCTGAAAAAGTACCACTCGTTCTGCGGTGTCGACCCTATCCTGCATCTCTCTGCACCATTCATCATATATACACATAATTATGATTATTATCATTATCATTATCATTATCATACATACTCATAATCAATATTACTTATTCATTAATAGGCAATATCAACGTATATAGGCCGTTGACTGCATCAATGAGAAAACCGTATCTAGAAGCAACACCAGCTAGCTATAGCTCATGGATATCGTGTACGCTTTCCATTTCCCGGAGATTTTCTTTTTCCATTATTATATTTTCTGAGTGAGTATAGATTCAAGATATGTATATATATATATATATATATATAGCCACACATAACATGATGCCATGATCGCTACTACCGGTCAAAATGTACAATTAATTACTTTATTTCCTCCCTGATAAAATGTAGATACATATATATATATATATATTATGCTTGTTAATCTCCCTACGAATACGATTTCAGTCGATCATAATTAATAAGCAAGCAAATTAATGAAGGTTACAAATTCATAACATTAGTGCTGCCTTACTTCTTGGGCTCTTAATTTAGACAAAAGTGATGATGGATTAATTTTCATGCTCAAGTATACTACTTAAGGTCCTAATTCAGGTCAATAATGATAAGAGATGAATTAAAAATTAAGGACTCCAAGCAAAAACAGAACGCAATTAGTAATAGTAAGAGTACTATATATATACATACATACATATATATATACAAATATATAAGTACCTTGAAGGTCCCAAGGTTCCAACTTGTTCAAGTCGACCTCTCGAATGACCTCCATCTCAAACTTGTGGAAGGAAACCTTCTTCTTCAAGTAGTAATGGAGAAGCTCCTCATCCGTCGGGTGGAACCGGAATCCCGGAGGCACACTGCCGCTCGACGAACCCATGATACCAATCTTCTCCGTCGATCGATAATATTATATGTTTACTTGAAGCTGTAGCTGATGAGGAAAGGAGGAGATAGAATTACTTAAGGATGACACGCAAGAGGGGTTTAAATATGATATGAGGATGAAGATGTCAACGCCCAATCGGAGATGCATATATGTATTTGATATATATGTGAAGAATAAAGTTGACGGCCGGTGACTACGCCGCCGGAGATGCATGGCTTAAAGCTATCGTAAAATGCAAGTCTCTGCTTTCAACTATATATATATATATTTATAGGTGTATATATTGGCTACGTTTCAATTTCTCCCACCTTCCAATCTCGGAGCGTGCCTGCACTCTCTAATCATAACACCACACCAATCAGCAATCAACAGTACATGAGACCCTAATTCTATGCTGAAAAAACAAAACAAGTAAGAACACATATAAATCTAATTCTTCAATATAACTCTCAACGGTTGCAAAATATATGATAAAGAAAAGATATATGACAAGAGAAATAGTACACCTCTTAATTTCTCTGTATTCTTAATTTTTGTTATTTTCTATCAACCTTAAGATGGCACCCGGCCCTAACTATCATGAGGAACCAAAAAAAAAAAAAAAAAAATCGCATACCCCCTCAAACTCTGCTGCACGCAAGAATTCATTACGATGGAAAACAAAATTACAAACTTCACAACTTAACATTATTAATGCAATCATACAAATGTATTAAAAATTATCGTCGTATCCAGAGTCGTTAAAAGTCTAAGAGATAAGACGACGGTTTAACCGTCGCCTAATACTCGTGTAAAACACCACAAGAGTTTAAAAATGCACATTAGACGATGATTTTTTGAAAAACCGCCGTCTAATATCAACTTTTAATGAAGGTTTTTTTAAAAATCGCCATCTAATGTGTAACTTTTAAAAAAACCGCCATTAAAAGTATTAAAAATTTAAAAATATATATTTTTGCCGAAACTAATTCTTTGCTTAAAAAAATTATCTCTTCGAATGTTATCACAAGTCACCAACACACATGAAAAAATTCAAAACAATATGTTACAAATTCACCTTCTCATATATAATCAATATATATATATATGTAACACAAATATTTCAAAACTAAAAGTCTTTACGAAATCTAACAATAAAAATACCTAGTTAATTCAAAGAAAACTCTAAATTCAAAAAAAAAAAAAAAAAACTAATCTCACAGAAATTTTTTTTCTAAAGATTAACAAAGTACCCATTTTGATGGTCACGGTGTAGTGGCGGACATGGAGGCAATGTCATGACAGCTGGCAATGTATGAGCATGATTGTGATACTCTTGGAGGCGGCGGCCAAGTTGAGGGAGTGAGAAGTACGTATGTAATGGGAGTGAGGAGTGTAGAAGATATGAGATTTGAGAGAAAAATATTGAAGTGTTGAGAGGAGAGTTAGAGAGAGAGTTAAGGTGTGAGGAAAAAAGAGATGGCTTTGGAGAGATGGAGAGATTTGAGTAACAAACTTAGAGTCTGTAAGAGAATGCTCAAAGTTATAGATAAGATATCAAAGCTTTAAAAAATTTTCAGAAAAAATGAGCGGAAAAAAGTCAGCATTTTTTTTTTTGAAATTTTTTGACATTAGATGACGAGTTTTAAAAACCGTCGTCTAATGTGCGTGTACAGATTTTTCGTGTTCGCACCGCATTTTTTTAGCTCATTAGACGATAATTTCTTAAAATACGGCGTTAAATAGACGTCGTCTAATCTCCTATTTGTTGTAGTGTATGTACTATTAGATCTGTGGAATCCTTTCCAGAGGATTAAGAGTATACTAGTCTGATTTTTTTTTTTTTTAATTACAACTCTGATAAATGTTTCTGTGCAATGTCCATGGAGTATATGGAACTTTCTCAGCTCCAATATAAAATAAATTGTACTGCAAGTGCAAGTGTGCAAGTGCTACGCGCTCCATGATGACCTAGCTATAGCTAGGAGAACATCCTCTTCATCTTGAGATACATTTCTAGTTATAAGTTTAATGACACTAAATAATTTAAAGAAATAAACGATCCCAAGAAAATAAGAAATTACTCATAAAATTATGGGATATTGATTGTTACTGAAGCAAGGGGTTGGAAAAATATATATAGCTGCTAAACCTTCTTGGGATTTTCGCTTTTGATTGGACGGTTCAACTTAATTTAATTTATAACCGATCAATCATCATCTGGGGGCATACATGTATATATAATCATGTACTCATATTAGGATTAATATATATGCATCTGATTTAAATTGTTAAGCCTTTGTTTAGGACTAATAAGTAACAACATGAAACCAGTTGGAGATGATATGAATATCAGACGCAGTCGCCATAGCTAGCTAGCTGGGATCAGCTTGTTGGCACATGCCACTACGACTTGAAATCAGGCTAATTCAGATTAAGTTACATTAATACACAAGATTAAATTGCACGCTTTCTTTTTATTTCTTCGTGATTATATATATTTATTATTCTCTTCCTCCGGGTCTACAGTATATATATATATATATAAGCGCACTCTAAAGGATCTCATCATCAGCTTTTATAAATTGGAAACTCAAAAGTGCTAAAATAATAAGTTGGACCAAATCCATAATAAATATCTTCCCCAAGTATACATATATAATGTACATGATCATGTAGGCTTGGATATTACGCAACATGTGACATGAGATGATTAATTCGCTCCTAGCTAGCTACCCATCATGCATGTAGCCTTGGAATTGATGATATATTTCTTAATTTGAAGCTTCATTTTGATTATATATGCATGTACATTATTACTACATATTGATCCATCCATATATCCATCCCGATGTTCTCATTGTAATATGTTATTAATTTTATGTAATAATTAAATTAACTCCAATTGTATTTTATTCGCAGGTTCACTTGAATGACTTTCAAAAAAACCAACCCAAATGATGCATTTTCTTTGTTTTTTGTTTTTGTTTTTGTTTTTTTTCTAAAAAGAGGAAAATATATTTCATAGCAGAAAATTAAGACAATACAAAACTCCAATTTACACTCACACAGTTTTCTAATACAAGAAACACGATATGGTAAACGATTGATTTCATCTATAAACTCAAATAAAATGCTCAAAGAGAGAGTCTGAGTTAGGCTCTATGGACATACACCGACCTAATTAAAGAGGTATACCAAAACTAAGTACGCGCATGCTCTATGAATAATGCGCTTTACATATCGACATATTTTACCCATCGAATTAGTATTTGATTTCCTGGTTCGAATATGTAAGATAATATATCAATTAGAAGAAGAAAAAATTCTGGAAATTTTTCCTTTTTCTTTTTTTTTTTTTTTTTTTTGGATAAGAAAGAGCTTTGGCATATATAATTTATGAACCGGTAATATGTCCATCTAAAGACATGAAACCACAGAATACGCAAAGCTTAATTAATCTATGGGAATTTAAAAGCATTTCTTTTCCCCTGTTGATTATGGATCGTAGAGGGTAAGATTTTAGTTTTGTAACTGTTGATAATAGATTTAATACAAGTTAAGAAGTCCCACATGCCCTTAGAACAACACCAACACAGCCGTAAAAGATCACTACAAGTAGTACAATAGGTCATATGACATGTGTCATGTCACGTCGATGACAAAGTTATTACTAATTGCTTAACATGTCCAATAATAATAATTAATAGTTGTTTCTTTATTAAGGGCGGTGATATAATTACATAATTAGTGCGGCCGTTGCAATTTGCAAGGAACAGGAGAAGGAGGGAGAGAATTCAAAATCAAAAGTGAGAATAAAGAATCAACTATAATATGATATGATTGAGTATTACTTTATGGCCAATAATAATAATAATAATAATGATGATAATAATAATAATAATAATAATATATGGGCGGAGTCCTTTGATTCAAATTGATCATCTAGTGATGAGGTGAGAAAAGCAAACTGCTCAAAAAGCTAAAAAGTAAAGAGACCCGACCCCATTAAGAGTAGTGAAAGTCCATTTGCCTGAATTAACTGGACTTTATAAGTGGTTGAAAAGATCATGACGCAGCTCAAATTTTATATTTAAGTAGCAAACACATGACAACATTTCACGTGTATATTGACGCAGTTAAATCTTTTGATAACCATGCCAAGATCTTTGTGTTTGTCGAGCAGGAGTCTGTGGAAGTTTGATGAATTCAAGGTTGCAAACATGGAGGCTGAGGATGAAGAGGATGATGGTTATTGTAGTGCACCGCCATTGTTGAGATCACTGTTTGTGGAGACCAAGGCATTGGCTTATCAGCAACATCGGAAGTGGAATAATTACCATCAGAAGCGGCACAGTAAGAGTATATTATTGCCTCCTGCTGGAAACCTGCTGAAATGCTGCCTAGGAATCAGGTGTTGGGAGGCTACATTTTCGTATGCAACAACGAGACCATGCAAGATGATCTCCGTCGCCAGCTCTTTGGTATAACAGACAGACAAACTAACAAACAAACAAACAATTTGGCTCTAGCTAATTGCTTTTATAATTCCTTATTTTCTACTTCATGCCTCAAATTGATCTCCATTAGTAAAATAAGCATGTTCGTTTGACATGGCTAATTCTTAGAACCAACCTGTTTAATTTAAATTTATTTTATTTAATTTTATGCAGGCCTTCCACCGAAATACAAGGACCCGGTGAGGGCAATAATGCCAGGTTTACCCCTCTTTCTTTATAACTACACCACCCACCAGCTGCATGGAGTGTACCAGGTAATTAATTAATTAATTTGCAAATTAATTCCTGCTCTGCTACTGTAGTTTTTAATTTGATGTCATCGAGTATCTTTGACATTAATGACAGTATTTTGCCTGTGTTTCTTGGTTTCCTTAACAACATATCAAAGGCTGTGAGTTTCGGAGGGTCAAACATAGACCCAACCGCGTGGCAAGACAAGAAGTGCCCGCTTGGAGGCTCAAGGTTCCCAGCGCAGGTTAGAATCCGAACCAAGAAGAAATGCAAACCACTTGAAGAAGATGCTTTTAGGCCTTTTTTATACCACTATGATGGTCCCAAGTTTCGTTTGCAGCTTTCTGTCCCTGAGGTATACATACAAATTTAAAATTTTTAAGAGCTAGTCAAATTTTTCCAAGTGTAGATCAACAAGTATTTTGACTTTGCTGCTTTTGATCTTAAATTAATGTTTGTTCCTTATTCATTGGGATCTGCTTCACTCATTAATCGTTGCAGGCACTTGCATTGTTAGATTTATTCAATGAACAAGACTCTATTAGACAAACTCCACTCAAGATATAAGCTAAACCAACAACTTACTAGAAAGAACGGATGCTGGTGAATTTTTTCCTTTTTTTTTTTTTTTTTTTTTTTTTTTTTTTTTTTTTTTTTTTTTTTTTTCGAAAGTAGCTGTCCTAGTTTGATGGGATGATTTACGAGCTTTCTATTGATGAACAACAAATTATTCACTTGTCAAGTCTAGTGTATCACACCAAAGAAATCAGGTATTATGTAAGGTGTTTACTTGTATGTTAGTGTAATTGAGGTGCAAGATTTCTTCACTGCCGTGGAATCTTCTTTCTATCAGAGTCAATCCCCCTTTGGGGAGGTGCAACTCATCACGATATTGACTCTGCTGACTGCTATGGAGGTCTCACTTTCTTCCCAATTCCCAGGGTTGTCTTGTTTCAACAAATCTAATTTACGACCAATTCGAACAACCGGCACTAGGCTTAAAAGACAGACAGGACATAAAAAACATGTTTACGACACTGATACTGTTACGAGTTTGAGCAGAGCTGTTACTGTTAGTATTAAGCGCCTTCCTTTTCACAAGTCACAACTTTCTGTGCCCCATTCAGAACTAGAGCAACCATCCTCATTCCTCACCAACAGAATTTATAATATATTAGAAGAAAAGCTCGCATAAGCACAAGAACTTGAGAATACAGGACTTTTTTTTTTTTTCCCAAATAGACGGTATAAAAATTCTGACATTTAAGACTAAGATCCCGTTCATTTCACTGATTTGAGCTTAAAATTCGAATTTTACTACAGTAAAAAGCTCTCATAAACAGTCACATTTAACTTTTTTACTACAGTAAAAATACTCTCACATAAAATCACATCTTAATTCGAATTAAAAACTCAAATCAACAAACTAAATGGGTCCTAAAAATAGTGGAAAAGAGAGTCTACAAAAAAAAGTTGACAATCTTCCGAAAAACCACAAAGTCTAACTAAAAGAGGAACTGTACATGGATATAATACATACAACAATAAACAAGGAAAGCACCGCTCAACGTACAGAAGATGCCATGGTCAAGTTAGTTGTTAGTTTAAGGTCATCACTCGCTGCTGCTTTTCCTCTACAAGTCCTACTGAAGACAGAAACATACTTGCCATTCTTTGTAGAATGATGGATGCTCCGGTGTTTGTTGCGGTAAGTGTTTATGCATTTCAAACAAACAAATTTGGCGGGGATTTCATCTGAATTGGCAATCCCAACACACCTGATGTGTTGCCAAACGCCACATGTATCACAAGCCAGCATTCTCTCGCCGTCATCATCCTTGGCTCCACACGAGCAACTGACCGTCCAGCTCTCAATTCCTCTTTCCATGCGGAACCGATTAAGCCCGTGTTTTGCAGCACATTTTCCAGCAAGTCGAACAGACCCACCTGTTCCAACTAGAAATTTAACTGTAATTGAGTCATCTATGGAGCCATACCCAACCAACTCCTCAGCCTGAAACCTCTTGAACATGGGGTATACTTCTCGAAATGCTTGGGTGACCGCACTTTTAAGGCCGGCCACATTTGCATTCAAGGGTAAGACAATTAATTCAGGGGGTACCACTGGCTCACCCTTGGGTTGGTCTGAAAGTTGCACATCACACCAGAGATGAATTGCTTGAGGGCTCTCCACTGCAGCAGTTTCAGACACGTAGACTTTCACAAATTGCTTGCAATCAAGAAGTTTAGTTGCCGAATCAATCACTTGATCCCTGATCCTCTGGGGCTTATAACTCACCATGGTGTCAGGATGAAGAAACGACTCGTACAAGAACCTCAGATCGCGTAAAACTTGTTCTTCTGATGGGTAAACGAAATTCACACCAGATCGAGCGTTGGTGCTACTCAAAGGCTCGAGCCTGCAATGTTTGTAAGAAACAAACAGGAAACGAATTAGTACTTCACTGTAGAACAACATTGAAATAATTACCAGCAGTCACAAAAGGAAAGCTTGAATAGCTTTACCTGTATTCTATAGTACTAGAAGTGGGATTGCAATGGGAATGAACCACCATGCCATCATGGGTAACGTTGCCTCCAAAGTGTTTGAGGCAGTACTCAAGAAGCTCCGGTGACGCGGCCTTGCACATGGTGCCCTTGAGAGCACGTCTTGTAACCCAACCACAGCCAGTGGAGGCGCGTAGGATCTTAATCATTGCTTGTTGCAAGCATTCAACATCATTCCTTGTCCACGCACACAGCGCATTTGAGGAGGGAAAATGAGGCTTGTCAGAAGATGTAAGAGCACGAACTTGGCGAAGGAGACTCAACAAGAAGGAGAAGAGATCCTTGAAGGTGGCAAATTCAGTGTGGGACAAGGACTGGTACAAGGCAATAAGTGATTGGAGGTGAGATTGGGGGGCTCGTGGGTGGAAGAGGAAAGGAGAGAGGGACGTGCTGGACAGGGAATGTACGGCTTTGAGGTAGGCATCTTGGGTGAGAGCATAGCTGCCGGCGCCAAACTGGTAACCCCAATTGCCATACCACGAATGACCGTCGGTGATGGCGTGCAGCAGCCGGTACTCCATCCCGTGTTTCTTCGACACATCCATCACGCTTATCTTCCTGCTCTCAAATAAAACAAAATTAAAAAAATTAAAAAAAAAAATTGAGAGGAGCATACATCATGACATACTCATGTTCAGGCATACCCAAGTGTAACAGTTAATTGAGAGATGGAAAACAAGCAAGCAAACAAACCTGACAAAAAGGGCACAACAAAGCCGGTCCCAAAAGTCCATAATTTGGCGACCGGAGAGAAAAAGGGAGCCGCCTTGTCTGCCGTTGAGAGTAAGAAGATGGCCAAAGCCATTGGAGTGGACAACAGCGTGGAGAAGATGCGTGTGATCTTCCAACTGAACATTTATCCAATCTTCCACATCATCCGCGCTTATGGATGTCTTGCACCTCCGGCACCTGATCAATCAATCAATCAATCATCATTATCACCACATATATTAAACTTGTAATCTAATCATAAAATCAAATCAAATGTTCATCTAAAGACAAATCAATACTATCATATGGTAATGCTATGCTATCACTAACACAACAAACGCGTATATGCATTAATTAAGGGGGGCAAGTATGACTGAGAACATCAATTTTATTATTATTATTATTATTATTATTAGTAGATATCATAAGAGAAAAGCGAACCTAGAATCGTTGAAGTGAAGAAGAGGGGCTCCACAGGCAGAACAAGAGTTGAGGTAGCTTTTTCGTCCGTCATCAACTTGAGCTTGATAAGGATCAGGATCATCATCATCATCATCATCATCATCATGTAATGACACAACGCTTTCCGCTCTTATTATGAAGTGGTACCTCTTTTGGCACACCGGATGCCCACTCCAGCCTTTTTTTGTTTTTTGTTTTTTTTATACGTAGACATCAATAAATTTATTTATTTTAGAACAAATATCATCATCGCCATAACTAATAAAGACATTTTTTTTTAATCTTCTTAAACAATAAACACTTGTTATACATATATATATATATATATATTTATATATATATATATATTTTGTTTTTCTTTTAAAGAAAAAAATTGAAAAGAAAAAGGACACATCTTAGTCTAGTCTTCTTAGTTTAAATTTATTATTTAAAAAAAAATGGTGAGTGGAGGGGGGGACTAACCAAGAACACGGCAGTGGTCACAATAGAGGGAGCGGGAGGAGGAGGTGACGTCCTCTTCGACGACGTGGAGTGCGACGGCGACGGAAGAGAGGCGGAGGGAGAGGCGCCATGAGAGGAGTGAGGGGAACAGGGAGGGAGGAAGGGCGAGTTGGGCGTGTCGGCTCAGGAACTCCTTTATGGAGTCCCTGAAGGGCTTTTGGCCCTCACTCTGCGGCGGCGGAAACTCCTTGAAATCGGGCACATCTAATTCGGAGCGGCAGAGCCTCCTCCTCTTCACCCTCCTCGTCGACTCATCCTCCTTCACTCCCAATCCCAATCCCATCACCATCTTTGCTTTGCTTTGATTTTTTTTTTTTTCAAAAGAGGATGAAAATATTTTAGATGTTCAGCTGTAATCACAGTTCAGTTCACACAATAATTAATAAAGGAGAAAAGGAATGAATAAAAAAGCCTTTCTTTATTTCTCTCTCCGTTATATATACACAATATATATATATATATATATACACGAATGAATATAAATTTGGTCTATGGCGGTTCCGCTCCTCTCTCCATTTTGCAACTTTCCCTCCTCTATTTCGTTCCCTCTTCTTTTGTTTTATTATTATTATATATTTTCTTTTTCTTTAAGTTTAAGGAAAAATTAAAGGAATTTCTTTTATTTTACCGGAGACGGAGTTAGTCCATTTTATTAACAGTGTCAATTTTCAATTAATTTAAAAGTACATAAGATTAAGATTACGTTAATTTTATTAATTTGAATTTAAAATTTAAATTTTATTACAGTAAAAAATATTCACATTTAATTTTTTATTACAGTAAAAAATTATCATATAAAATTACATCTTAACTCAAATTAAAAACTCAAATAAACGAACTAAACTTAAATCAGTGAATATAAATTTAACAACTAAAAATAAAAAATTGTCAACTAATTTATTTTCTAATCCGACCAGCACAAAAATTATTTTCTAATCTTGTAAAGGAAGTTCGTTTATTTTATTTTATTTTAATTTTAATTTTAATAATTTTCAGTGGGTAGGTCCAAACTCCGAGTCCTTCACAATATTATTATAATATATTAGAACCCCGTTTGTATTTCCTGGGAACTTTCTGGAGAAAAGGAAAAAAGAAAAAGAAAAAGAAAAAGGAAGGCGGTCTCCAAAATGTTTTGAAATGATTGGCGTGTGGGAAAGAAAGGCGGTCTCCAGTCTCCCTCAAAAGTGGAAAGACAATCTTGTTCCTTATTTATCTTGAAATTCGTTTTAGCCTCCTCAAAAATTAAAAAGAAAAGGCGAATGTTTTCTTTTTTCCTTTTTTTTGTAGCGATGTAATAATAAATAAATAAAAAAATTATATATAATAAATAAAATAAAAATAAATTATCTATTTTCCACAAGAAAGAAAGAAACTAAATCAGCAGCACTAGGGTTTTTTTGGGTCTTGTCTTGTTTTCTCTCATTCCAGATTTATTCTCAACTCACTAGTGACAATAGTAGTCTAATAATAAGGAGTTAAAACAATAGAGAACGAGCGTGTGTGTGTGTTAAATGTCAAGGCTCCAAACAGCTCCGTTCCCTTCTCCGCAGGAGTTGTGGATGCTTTTCATTCTCTCCACCGATTTGCATATTCCACTGCACTGCCAATCAAAAGACGCCACGCACACATTCCCTTCTTCTGCTTTCCATTCGCAATCTATTATTTTTCCATTTCGTTTTATTTTATATATATGATATATGATAGCAAAAAACAAAAAAAAAAAAAAACAGTTAGATTTTAAATTTTATCGAATTAAAAGACCCCCCTCCCCCCCAAACAAAAACAAAAAAAAGGAGGAAGAGAAAGAACAATACAAAGATCTATAATCGTTCCATTCTAAGTAACATATCAATATGTAATGTAGTGTAGTAGTGTATTACAGGGTAAACTGTAAAGTAGGTACCTGGAGGGGTCCCACAACACATGGAGCGGTCGTCTACATGTTCCACTTCAAGGCCTATGAACCATGAGCCCAACGACACGTCCTCATTGGCGTATCGATGCAGAATGGGCCTAAACATATATGTACAAGCCCAACGTTTCAGTCCATTCCATGAATTATCGTGTATGATCCAGCAAATACAACAAGGAGACCCCTTAATAATATTATATTAGTGCAGATTGCTTACGAGTTAATAGAGATATAGGAAGCGAGGTCCTTAGAGATGCCATAGATTTGGCCCGTGGCGTGCCTGAAATACTTGTTCCCTTCGTCCCCAAACTTCCAAAATTCTGGCTCATGGTACTTCACGCCCCTGCATCATTTATCATATATAATATAAGAATTATAAAAAATAAATAAAAATAATTTAAATAAAAAAAGCACCTTCGCATGTCTATCATATATAAAGAGAATTAAGATATAAAGAGAATTATATAAAGAGAATTAAGACGATGACGATGAAAATAATATATACAAGTACTTTGTGGAAAGAACAGGGCCGGACTTCATGCAGCCAATGTAGACGCGGGGCTTGAAGCGGTGCTTGGCGAGAGTGGAGGCGAGCGTGGCGACGTTGAGGTGGACGTCGTCGTCAACCTTGACGTAGAAAGTGGCGTCCCAAAGGGAGAAAGCGGTGGAGAAGTAGATGCGGGTCTTGGAGGAGAGGTGGTGGTAGCCCTCCACGTGGTTCGTGAGGCGGAGGAAGTCGTGGTGCTCGGCCTCCTCGGCGTCGATGCCTTTGTCGAGCATTCCTCCTGGGGTGGCGCTGTGCCCTATCACGAACCTCATCACAATCCCTTTCTCCTTCTCAACCTTCTTCAGACTCTCTCCTCTCGCCATCCAACTCTCTCTCACTGAATCCCGCCGTCTCTTACTGCTGAACGCCGTGTTTATTCCGATCACCACGAACGCCTTCTTCTTCGGCCCGACATTATTTTGAGAATCACTTGTTTCGTTCTGCCTTGTCCTCGCTGCTGCTACCTCCATTTCCAACGTCGATATCGTCTTGTCCAGTGATCTGATTATAAGATATTTATATAAATTATTTATTAAATTTTTTTTTAATTAAAAAAAACACACAATATTATATATTTACAAAATTAGACGTTGTTAATATATGAGCATGAATATTGTAAGGTAGATAGCTAGTGCCTTACTGGATGGCTAGGTGGGTTTTGATCACCTCCTCCATGATATTTCCAGATTTTCCAGCTTCCACCAATTTCTGGCTCGTTGATTAAAAGAAAATATACATAAAAGAATTATTGACATTTATAATAATCTGTAATAATCCTGATGTGGGAACTTAATTATAGAAAATATGATAATTAATTATATATAAGATACATGAATTCGAATCACATACATGTATATATATATATATATATATAGATCAATTAGTAATATAAAATGTTTAAATTAAATATTAATTACCCGCTGCGCCTTCATGTGATCGTCATCGTTGTTACGATCATCATGATGACATGATGAGGGAAGATCATGATCGAAATCAGAATGATGAAGATGAGGATGATGGTGAGAAAGATGAGCAGTACCAGTACTCCAATAGGCACGGGTGGTAAAGAGAGAACCCCCAAGAAAGCTTGCGAGGCACAGCACTAACATGGCTTTTCCCGAATATTGCTTACTACCACTACTACTTCCCGAGGACCTCATCTGCGTGTGTATATATATATATATATTCACTAGTGCGCACTAGATTTCTTATTTTCCCCCTTCTATTCTAATTGCTTCATCTGCATTCTCAACATATTCATTATATATAATTAATTCAACTTGCATATATATAATTACATCGATCATATATTCATATATAACTAATTAAATATACATAGATCTAAAAATTATATTGATGCAAAGCCTCTCGATCCGAAAGTGAAATTCAAATGCAAAAAGTGATAAAGAATTACCTGATCATCCGATCGATCGGATATAATTGGTGAGTAGGTGGTGCTTACCAATAATGAGTTGTAATAAAGATCATGAAAATATTCCAGTCACATATATATATATATATATATAATCCAATCGATATGCATATTGTATGATATATATTTTATATCTATGTGTATGTATATATATATATATATATATATTATTGGGTAGTTCATTCATGTGTGATTCGTGTCTCAACAAACTGAATGCTGCAAAGTTTAACTGAACAATATTAGCAAGCTGCCCTCCTTCTCTTTCTCTTCGTCTTTCTATTAAGTTGATTAACTAATAATTGCTCTGCGCCTACCCTTTTACAAGTTGCTTTCTGCCTAATTAACCTAATTAAGTTATGAGCGATAATTAATGTTTGTAGAGTATTAGGTGTTTGCATTTTCCTGCTAATTAATTGCCATTAATTAGAAATTAGAATATATACTCATCACTAATTAAGACCTCAGCTGAGAGCGCCTCAGATCATCACAGGCCTGCCTTGGATTAGAAAATTAGTAGACCTTTAAAGCATTGCCGCGAATTCCATGCCTATCACTTCTTAGAGACCCTATATATGCGTTTTGGGCTTTAATAAATGAAAGCATTACAATTTAGTTTATTGATTTGAATATAAAATTTTAATAAAACTCAATTTTTTTTATAAGAGAAAATATGTAAAAAAAAAAAAGACCATAAGTCTCACCAGCAAGATAAATGATATATATATATATATATTAAACGGCGAAACCATGATTTTGTAGCTGGTAATATTGAATAGCGGTTAATTATTGAGTCGTACGTATTTATTGCTAAATATAATATTTACCATCTTCAAATTAAAATTCAGTGAAGCATTTATTGTTAAATATAATATTTACCATTTCAGTAGCGGTAAATACTATATTTATTCAGAAGTTTGTCTGCGATGGTAAATACTGTATTTACATATAAATATGTAATTATTTTTAATCTTGTAAAAATCTAAAGAATCCATAGAATTACAAAAGACTTCTACAAATTAACTTCTCTCTCTCATCTCCCTCACGATCTTTCTACTTCTGTGGAGATCACCATGATCTCCTGCGTGGAATCACGACGGCGACAGAGATCGCAGTGATATCCAATGACGCGCAGCCCTCGTCGTTCGTTTATTTATTTATTTATTTTTAAGCCGGGGATTAAAGATAACAGTAATGATAATGGAAATCAGACTCCAAATTGTGATATTAATTCGTAGATCAGAAGGAGCAGAAGGAACTGGCCGGGTCGAATTACACAATACTTCGGGAACAGTACTTTGTGTTATTGCACAAGATCAATCTCCACAAATAAACTAATATTATCATGATCTAGTTTTTTTGTAATAATTAAATGTTGGTTCTTAGCAATAAAATAAATAAATAAATAAATAATCTACTGTCGGTTTGGACCTAACTTCCTATAATGATGGGGATGGACATAATTAGATTCTAATTACGGGTGGGGTCAACTTACTCCAGTGGGAACCTCAATTAATGAAAGTCCTACACTAGCTAGTTTTGCTAATCAAAGTCCTACACTGGCTAGTTTATATATATATATATATATATATATACACGGCAAACTTATAAGTATTTAGTGCTTAGTAGAGGGAGTGAGGCAAGGGAGATATTGATTATAGTATCTAATTAAACAAGAAGGAGTCACTCTTAACATAATTGCGAGACATCAATATATAATGTTATTATATATACCTAGCTAGATCATAATTCTCCCACATGAATAATTATTACGTATTATAAATATACATTAAATAGTTCATGAATTGCAAGTTACATAATTAATATATATATATATATATATTAATAGGATCAAACAGTAGTAGTAATAGGCTTGTTGTTGTAGTTTTCAAAGACTTATCCGTGTCCTTGTCCATCAGCAGCAGCAGCAACATGATCGGCAGTAGTAGCACTAGCAGTAGTGGGTGATACAATTATTGATGGATTGGAAGAAGAGGAAGAAGAAGAATACACTGGCCATTTGGAGGAGAAGATGATGTAATTGAAAAAGTTGACGAGGCTTAGAGCAGCCAAAAGCCAGTAGAAGAGGTCAAGCCTGTCTTGGTTAAGATCATTGTAGCCGAGCCACCCGGCCGATGTATTGCTAGTCGTAACTTTGTTCACCAAAGAAACCAGCACAGAGCTCAAGTAGAATCCAAACGAGTAAGAGCAGTACGTCATGGCCGTCAGAAACGACTGCATCCCCTCCAACGACTGCGTGTAGAAGAACTCTATCAGCCCCACCGCCGTGAACATCTCCGACAGCCCGAATATCAGAAACTGCGGTGCTATCCAAAGTATCGACATCACGGCCTTCTCGGTGCGCCGCCTCTTGGCCTCCACCAGGGCGGCGCAAACCATGGAGAAGGTGGCGATGAAGAGGCCGACGCCGACCCTCTGAAGGGCGGAGATGCCGGAGGGGCGGCCGGTGAGCTTTCGTGCGGCGGGGACGAAGGAGAGCTCGTAAAGAGGGACGAGGCAGATGAGGAGAATGTAAGGGATGGCCTGGAGGGAGGCCGGGGGGATGCTGAAGGAGCGAGAGATGCGGTTGTCCATGGCGCTTCCCTGCTGGACGGAGAATGTCTGGAGTTGGGCTAAGATGGTGTTGAAGATGATGGTGCACGCGAATATTGGGATGACAGACAGGATTATCTTCACCTGCTCCACTTGCCCCACGCTGCACAGTCTCCATGGACTTTCACTGCTTCTCTCCCCACTTCCGTTTTCTACCTTGATGCATGCCTTGTTCAGGAATCTGCACCCCAACACAATAATAATAATAATAATAATAATAATTTTTGCGAATAAAATTTATTATTTTATTTATTTATTAAATTTTTTGTTATTTTATAAGATTAAAGAAACAAGGAGTCTTTGGTCTCACCTAAACTTATCCGTGTGTAGGAGATTGGTGACGTTAGTAGGGGTGGCAAAAAGGTGGTTTTGCACATTGGTTTGGCTTCCGCGGATAATCTCTGCTTGACTTGAAGGGCAGACTTGCTTTCTCTTTGAAAAGGCAGCAACAAAAACCTTGACAAATTTCACCAGCCAATAAAAGTAATTGGGATCTTTTATATTACAACAAAGAACTCTCTAAATTGGAAGCAGGGGACAACATTGTTGTCTTTCCAATTTATATATTAATTAACTCTACATTTATATATATATATATATGTGTGTGTTATAAAGAATAAGAAGGTCGGTGCCAAATCCAGAATCCAATTTATAGTGGATTTGTTTTTCCTACAAAAAGAGGAAAAAAAAAACAAAACCACTTTCATTATATAAGCAATTCGATTACCATATTGCATCATATTAATCGATGTATCATATAAAGGTAATAAGGGATATATGTGGAGGCTACTTAAGAACATCGCTAATTAAATATTGGTCGAAGAAATTAATTAGGAGCTTAAGCAAAAGAAAAGGCAGGCGTTTCCAATTTCCAAAGAAAAAGCAAAAGCGAAAGGAAAGGCCAATTGCCATATATATAAAGGTTTCTACTCCAGAGTGTAGACAAAAGGGGGAGGGAAAGAAAAAAAAAAGAAGAGAGATCAGCTTCACCAGGCAAATTAATTAAGAAAGGCAACAATATTATATTAGTTAAATGAAGAATTGGCTAATTACGTACTTGAGCAATAGGAGTGAAAATACTTCGGCGAGCGCGAGGTGGCCTGGTGATGTAGAGAGAAGTGCCAGAAATCAAGCAGAGCAATCCAACGGCCATGGCGGCGGCGGAGACGCCAAAGCCAACATCCATGCCGGAGTGAGTTTGGAGCCAAACGAGGAGAGTCAAGGCCAAGAGCTCGCCGGTGCAGAATGCGAAGTAGGCGGCGTTGAAGTAAGACGAAAGCACATGTTGATCATGATGCTTGCGGCGCTTATTGGTAATGTTAATTCTGAATTGATCAGCTCCGTGAGAGATGATGTTGGGCTTAAGGCAGCCACTTCCCAAGGCCACCAAGTAAAGGGCTGTAAACAATATCGCCGCCTTGAACCCTCTTGCTTCCTCACACTCCTGCTGATCAATATCATCTGCAGCTACTTTCATGATCAACATCTTGCAAGGCACTGGTCTTAGTTCATCCACGTGAGCTTGGACCGCCAGTAATATGAAACCCTGCACCAAACCGTATTATTACATATTAATCATATCATTTATATATATATATATATATGTTGGGATTAATTAGTAAGCTAGGATCATTAATAGAAGCTTGGAATCATGAATTAATTACGTACGGAGAGCTCAACAAAGCCAAAAAGGAGCATGGTCCGAAAGCTGCCTAAATAAGAATCGGAGAGAAAGCCACCGAGGAGAGAGAGAAGGAAGACAGTTCCGATAAAGTTGGTGACGATGTTAGCCGACTTTGAGAGAGGGAAGTGCATTTCATTAAAAACATATGTTATGAGATTGTTCCCAACTCCCGCTATCCCCATCATCTCAAATGCTTGCAGACCTGCAACATATCACTTCCATGCAACAACTCATTTCATTAATATATACACACACACACGCACTTATATTATAACTTTTAATATCGTATATACATATATAATACATGTGTATATATATATATATATAGAGAGAGAGAGAGACCGAGGACAAAAACAGCAGCCTTCATTCCACCATGGGTGTTAGGGTTGCAAGGCCTGCCTCTCCAGTCAACACACATCTCCTCCTCCTCCTCCACCACCACCACTGCATGATCATCATGATCATGATCATTAGTAGTAGCATTAATGTTTTCCTGATCAATATCACAGTTCCCACCTCTTTCCACCATTTTCTTTGAATTAAGCCCGATTACCAGCTAGGCTTTCTCACTCTCAGGGGTACTCTGATGATCTCCAAATTATGTAATTAAGAAACGACGCTACTTCTAGCTAGCTAGCTACTACCCGTCATGTAATATTATATGTATATGTATATGTAACTAAATATAAATAAATACATTTATAATTAACGACCTTTGGTGAAACTGAAACCGGAGGTTCTATTTCACCGCTGCTTAATTCCTCATCCAGAAATAATGATGATGATAATATCGATCGTGGATGAGAAAGTACTGGATATTGGGCTCCTATATATAACATTGTCCATGTCTACTATATTTTCCTCACTACAGGGGTGGCACTTTCTTCTTTTTTTTCTTTTTTAAAAAAAAAAAGAAGATGAATTTCCTGATCGCCTGATCTTTTCATTATTAACTAATTCTACTCCTCCTCCAGTTGACTCGTTGCTCATAGTGGGCTGGCCCTTTCCTAATTATGTTAATTATAATCATATTATCAATTAACCAATAAAAAGTATTTAGATAAAGCAAAGTCAGCCCCCACCAATATCGGTCGGTATCCATGTCTAACTATATATATATATATATATATAGCTAAATAGCAGCTTAATTTCCCCCTCTCTCTGTCTCTCTTTTCATTTCTACATCCACCATGACCATACACTATTGAAGAAGAATACTAAATTAATAATAATAATGGCAATCGAGATTTTCCGAGATCTCATTATAGATCGGGATCTTTTTACTAATTTTTAGCTGGTCCTAGTCTCGGGAATCATGATGGTCAATACATCTTCCAAGCTAATTTGACTATAATGTATATGGTATGTGCCATAATATTATTTAATTTTCAGCGGGACATATACCTACATATGTACGTACATATATATATTTATACATATATAGATATATCATCTTAATTATTTTATGTATTTTTAGCTAGGCAGAGAGTCAAAAAGTTTTCAATTTCTGCCAAACTTGAGTTGAATGCGTTTGGGCAATTGAGCGTAGCCACCACCATCATTGTAGTACAGAAAGACATTGCACTTTTGTATATATTCTAGAGACGGCCTACACCTTTTGTGTATATATATTATATGTACGTAATATATATATATATATAGCTACATACATAAGATAAGCCTTTTTTTAAAATCTGTAGACCATAAGAGAAACAGTAATAAAGATAACATGTGTATTGGGGGAGTATGAATTAAAGTATGCGTATGTATATATATGTATATATATATATATATTTGTAGTTGTTGGCACTAATATTGTCTTTTTTGGTTGCAGTGTCAAACAAAAACAAAAAGGCTGTGGTGTCTCTAAAACGAGTATAACAAACTGTGGCTTCAGAGAAGAAAAGAAATTGCTTTTGTATGATCTGTCCAATCCAGTCAAGAGTAATTGGCCACGCTTGTAAGTCTCAAGTCTCTCTTTAAAGTCGTGCAATGACTCGATCGTTTCGGAAGCCCCATTCGTGGAATTAGTGTACTACTCATCACCATATGACGCATGATTATTTATGATATATGTTCCTAAGGTACGTTTGGAATTCATTACAAAATGATTTTATTTTTTATATGAAAATAGAAATGAATATGTTTTTAATTTCATACATAAATTATTTTTAAAAATACGATTAGTAGTTTTATTAAGAGATTATTTTCGGGATTGAACAATCAGCACACGAAGGGACTAAAGCAGCCACCAACAGACCACCTGCTGAATACACAACGTATGGCGAAAAAATGCTTCCAGCGCTCCCCACTGCCTAACCAGTACATGCCCGCCCGAAGAACTGCAATGCCTAGCCCCGGAGTTGAAGACTTGCCCAAGTACGGACTGTTAGACAAGTGTTTAGGATGGCTGCCACGTTGCAGAAGTGGTTAGATGTGTTGCCACGTTACTGAAGATTTTTATTTATTTTGAATCATTCAAAGCAGTCGTACCTAACTTTTAGGAAGTTGCTGATTTTCAGTTATGCACGTTTGTTATCATGGCACAAGTTAAGGACCATGATGTTAGTGGGTTGTTGTTCATCAAGTTATAAATTGTAACGTTTCTGAAGTTAATTAATTATTCAGTTTTTGCTTCAAAATACATTACTCTCAATTAGTTTTTTACACTGCAGTAATATTTCTTAAACACAGGAAAGCTTTGTTTTGTTTCTTTTCTTTTCTAAAACAACAACAATTGGTATCAGAGCTACCTTCTTAAGGGATCTGTGTGTGAGTTTGACGCATCATGGAAGCCGAAGCCAGTTTCTCATCCATTGCTCCGCCAGTGTTCGACGGAGACAACTACCAGATTTGGGCAGTACGCATAGAGACATACTTGGATGCTTTGGATCTTTGGGAAGCAGTGGAAGAAGACTATGAAATCCCTGCACTACCAAACAATCCCACCATGGCACAGATCAAAGCGCAGAAGGAGAAGAAGACCAAGAAATCAAAGGCAAAGGCATGCTTGTTTGCTACAGTCGCGTCCACCATCTTCATTCGTATCATGTCTCTGAAGTCAGCAAAGGAGATATGGGATTATCTCAAGACTGAATACGAAGGAGATGAAAGGATCCGGGGGATGCAAGCCCTGAACCTGGTACGTGACTTTGAGTTGCAGAAGATGAAGAAGACTGAATCCATCAAAGAGTATTCTGACAGGTTGCTTAACATTGCAAGCCGAGTCAGACTAGTCGGCTCGTCCCTGCCAGAATCAAGGATTATTGAAAAAATCCTTGTAACGATGCTTGAAAAATTTGAGGCAACAATTACATCCTTCGAAAACACTAAGGATATGTTAAAAATCTCTCTGGCAGAGCTATTGAATGCTCTACAAGCACAGGAGCAAAGAAGAGCCATGAGGCAGGAAGGTGATGTTGAGGGTGCCTTACCTGCAAAACATCATGGAGCTGACAAAAACAAGAAGAAAAAGAAGAAGGGACAAGAAGGAAATTCGTTCTCTCCTGCTTCGAGTAGCAACGACAACAAAAATGGAAGTTTCAAGGGTAAATACCCTCCTTGTCATCACTGTGGGAAGAAAGGGCATCCTCCATTCAAATGTTGGAGGAGACCTGAGGCAAAATGTTTCAAATGCAACCAGATGGGGCATGAAGCTATTATCTGCAAAAACAAAAATCAGCAACAACGTGAAGATGCACAGATTGCTGATCAAGAGGAGGAGGACCAACTGTTCGTGGCTACCTGTTTTTCAAGCATCGAATCAAGTGAGAGTTGGCTCATTGACAGTGGTTGTACTAACCACATGACACACGACAAGGATCTTTTCAGGGAATTATCAAGCACAAACACGTCGAAGGTTCGAATTGGAAATGGCGAGTACATAACTGTGAAAGGAAAGGGAACAGTTGTAATCTCGAGCTACTCAGGTACAAAGTTCATTTCTGATGTGTTGTATGTCCCTAAAATTGATCAAAATTTGTTAAGTGTTGGACAACTAATTGGAAAAGGTTATAAAGTTGTGTTCGAAGACAAAAGTTGCTTGATTAAAGATGCAGCTAGCCAAGATATCTTCAAAGTGAAAATGAAAGGGAAAAGTTTCGTTCTAAATCCATTGGAGGAGGAGCAATCTGCTTTTTGGAAAGCAAAGCAGAAAACCGTTTCCCAAGATAGCATGGAGAGCATCAAAGAAGCTCCAGTTAATCCACACGGACATTGCAGGCCCACAAAGAACGCCTTCCTTGAAAGGTAGTCTCTATTATGCTGCATTCATTGATGATTTCACCCGTATGTGTTGGATTTTCTTTTTAAAACACAAGTCAGAGGTGGCTCAAGCCTTTTGGAACTTTAAAGCCAGAGTTGAGAATGAGAGTGGCTGCAAAATTCAGACTCTTAGATCAGAAAATGGCAAGGAGTACAACTCTGAATCCTTCAACCGATTTTGTGAGGAGGAAGGCATCCAACATCAACTAACCGCTCCATACACTCCGCAACAAAATGGAGTAAGTGAGAGACGGAACAGATTCATATTGGAGATGACACGATGTATGCTACATGAGAAGAACCTACCAAAGCAGTTATGGGCCGAAGCAGCAAACACTGCTATTTTTTTGCAAAACAGGCTTCTCACAAGAGCAATCAAGAGAGATAAACTAGATAAAAGAGCACTTCCAGGCATCTTTATTGGCTACAGCTCGGTTACAAAAGCCTATAAAGTTTTCCAGCCCCAAACTGGAAAAATTGTTATAAGTAGGGATGTGCACTTTATGGAAGACGAAGAGTGGAACTGGGATGATGCAAAGAAGATGGATCCAACCTCAAAAGAGCCAAAGCTCAAGTTTCCTATTTCAGACACAGCAGAACAATGCATAAGAGACTGGCAAAATGACATGGTGGATGACATTCCTGTCAAAGGCACAAGACCACTTTCTGATGTTTATCAAAGATGCAACATTGCTGTGTGTGAACCTGCAGATTATGAAGAAGCCAAGATGGATCAGAAGTGGATAGCTACAATGGAGGAGGAGTTGTACATGATCGAAAGAAATCAAACATGGAAGCTCGTTGACAGACCACAAGACAGGAAAATCATTGGTGTCAAATGGGTGTTCAGAACCAAGCTTAATGCAGATGGCTCAATTAACAAACACAAAGCAAGACTTGTAGTGAAAGGGTATGCTCAGATTTTTGGCGTGGACTACTCAGATACGTTTGCACCAGTGGCTCGATTGGACACCATCAGGTTGTTACTTGCTGTAGCTGCTCAAAGGAATTGGAGAGTCTATCAACTCGATGTCAAATCAGCCTTCTTAAATGGTTACTTGCAAGAAGAAATCTACGTTGAGCAACCCGAGGGCTTTGTGAAGGAAGGAGAAGAAGACAAGGTGTATCTTCTCAACAAGGCTCTTTATGGTCTGAAACAAGCTCCAAGAGCTTGGTACAACAGAATTGATGAACATTTGTTGAGCTTGGGATTTGATAAAAGCTTATCTGAATCAACATTGTATGTCAAGCACATTGGAGCTGACATTCTTATTATCTCACTGTATGTGGATGATCTGCTCGTGACAGGAAACAACACAAGTCTTGCGGAGAAGTTCAAGCAAGAGATGATGGTGGTCTTTGAGATGACAGATCTCGGTTTGATGACTTTTTTTCTTGGAATGGAAATCAAACAAGATGAACATGAAATCTTTATTTGTCAGAAGAAATATGCCAAAGAGATCCTAAAGAAGTTCAAACTCGACGATTGCAAAGAAATGAACACACCAATGAACCAGAAGGAGAAGCTCAACAAAGAAGATGGAACTGACAAGATTGATCAAGCATATTTCAGAAG